GCAGGGCGTATCTCCAGCATCCTCCCCAGAGGCACTTCACTGTATCACAGTTGTTTGCTCTGGCTGTGTTTTGTCAATTAAATCATAGCCTGGTGGTCACTGTAATGATGCAGATCCTCTGAGGTCCCCTGTTAAGCACCTAGACACCAAGATTAACAAGTACAAATCAAGATATAGACTCATCCCATACGGCTTTCTCGATCTGCTGGCGTAACATCAAGCCAGCCAGTGATTCTTTCAGCTCTTTCCCCAGATGAGCTGCTCAACCAAAGACATCCTCCCAAACCTTTCTAGCTCCCTGTGGATCACAACTGTGCTGCGGGGTTACACAAATTGTTAGTAGAGCAAAAATGGAAGACAGCGCAAGAGCCTTTCCATAGTGTTGCAGGACGCAAGAGAGCAGCAGGACCAGGTACTCAGCAGCCTGCGGCAGGAGAAGCGTAAGCTGGTCTACACCAGCAGGGTGCAATGCTGCTCCAGGACAGGACGATCTTTCTTTAGCTCCTCCAGGAAGCTCTGCTCAAGAGCTACCGTATGAAGTCCCTGCTCTTCTCCTAACCTCTCTGGCATCCATGACAGTGCCTACTCCGACCGTCAGAGCCATGGTGGGGACTTTGGAGAGGTCGCCATCAAAGAACCTGGCATTAGCCAATATAGTGTCCATAGCCAAGGTCTTCACTCGTGTCCTGGATACCAAACTTGATCCAGGCTCGTTGAAGGCAATGTGACCGTCTGGGCCAATACCTGTGACAGAGAGAGTGTGAGAAGTAGGTCAGCGGCTGCAATGGTGGCTGGAGGAAGCAGAGCCAGCAGCACTCCTATTAGAAAGACATTCAGTGCTTCCAGAAATAGATACAGATTTAAGAAAAACACTTGCAGTTCAAATTCAAGTTCAAATTTGCTTCAGGGAGGAATGATAGCAAAAGCCCCCTCTGAAGCCAATGAAGACTCTTCCCTAATTGTGCCGGGACAAGAAGATGGCAGAATCTTAAGGCAAACTGAAGATCAACTTGTGTTGAGCTCCTGTAGGCTCAAAACTCTGACTACTCCTAGCAGTTTCCCATTAGCACTGGCAATTGATTGTACTACATTTTGTATTCGAGCAATTCCAGCCCTGCATGCTTCTCCTGCTAAACATTTCCTGAACAATTCACTTACTGGATTGAAATACTTAAAACTGGGGGAGCTGGAAGACCAGGCTGCTAGCACACGAGCACCTAGGGCAATGGTACATGGTTGGCTTTCACTGCAAATCCACTGAACTGCATTGAAAATTAACTCTCCTGATAATAAATGAGATGATAGCTGGTGAGGAAAAGGCAGTGCTTCCTGCCAGCGTTTAGAGACCGCTAGTCCTTTGGGTTTTCACCTCCAACAAAGAGTTCGATTCCTCCAGCTGCTTTGATTTTATCCTCAAATGCGTCGCACTCTGCCTGCAGATCAGGTGCGTTTCCATCCAAAATGTGAACGTTTTCTGCTGAGATGTCAATGTGCTTGAAGAAGTTATTCCACATGAAGGAATGGTAACTTTCTGGGTGATCCCTTGGGAGACCTGGTAACAGACCATGCATGGGACTACGATCAACTGAAAGAATATCACACATAACATAAACCACCTTGCACTGGCTTTGGTCACAGAGCACTGTCATTTGTGACTCCCTCAGCTTTCATGAGTTGTTTTTAATTCCCTAAATAGCAAAATTAAAATCAATCACAATAGCTCCTATAAGATGTGTGCTCACATTAATGTGATGGATGTTCCAAAAAAGCAGGCAGGCACTGTGCCTCATCTGTTACTACCTTCTCAGCCTTCCTCCCAGTTTGTATTAACAAAGACAATTAAAAATAAACTGTGCAGAAGCCTGAGAAATAACTTATTGCATTTTTTTCCCCCTTGAATGCTATAAACCCACACTGGACTGCCTACTCCCTAATGCAGCTTGATTAGGATTATTCACAGAAAATGTCTTGACCAGAGTAAAATTAGCATTAGCAAATATTTAGCCTGTGTCTTTTTCACCTTTGGAGCTTTGGGCTTGCCCACTAATCTCACTGTACTCTTTCTTCTGAAGGGGCTATTTCATCACAGCATCATAAACGAAACAGCCCCCTGCTATCTTAGCAGGAGCTCACGTGTCGGATAGGTGACACGTTGGTCCTTGTAAGAGACCTGCAGCTAAAGCGACCTTTACAACCCCAGAGCGAAGGTGGCACTTAATGCTGCCCACTATCTCAGCCTGCAATGATAAGAGGGATCCTCAGCTGGTCAGCACCTAAGTCCAGGTGAAATACAGCAGTGTCTGGCACGCGTATGATACTCCTTAATATTTCTTATATAGGTTTTCACACGGTCCCTTTGCTAATGCAAGCGTTACTCTTCCTACCGTAGATCTTTAGCGGGTGGGATTTCCGCACCCACCGCGGGGAGCCGGGGCCCGGGACAGCCCACGAAGGCCAGGCACTTCTCGTGTGCGGGCACTCACCCACGTACTCGTCCATGTTGAAGGTTTTCACGTACTTGAAGGAGAGGTCCCCGTTCCGGCAGTACTCCACCAGCTTCCTGTAGCAGCCCAGCGGCGTGCTGCCTGCGGGGAAGCGGCCGCTCAGCGCCGGGGCCCGCCCGGGGAGAGCTCCCTGCCCCGCTCCCGGTACCCACCTGT